AAGGCTCGCGGTTCCCCCCGGCGCCCAGCGGGGACAAGAGTTGGCACAAGGGGCGTCATCCCGAGAGAGGGGAAAGCGTCAGGACCCGAACACAGGCAAAACCATCATTGATGAGATCAAGGATTTATTTACACGTCAAGGAAATCTCTCACCCAGACTCACGTGAGGAGGAAAAAGCAAACAAACCCAAAGGACCAAGCGATTTGCCTCCTGAACACAAACGCTCGCGCTCCCCGGCGCGCCTGGCCACCTCAAAGGGCAGCCGAATGCCTTCTCTCCTCCTCTGCAAGGAGAAACTAAAGGCATGATTTTTTTTTTGTTATCTGCACCACAGAAAACACAATCCGAAAATAAAAACCGCCTTTCCAAAGAGATCTGCCCACACGCAGGCGGATCATGGAGCACCCCTCGCTCTCCGGCGGAGGAAAGGTCCGAAGGGCAGCACAACTAATACTCGTCCAGGGTGTCCGCCCGCGGGACGGAGAGGCCCCGCTCCTTCAGCGCCTGCACTTTCAGCTTCTCCGACTCCTGCTTGGCCTGCTGCTCCACCCGCTGCTCCTCCAGGATCTCCTCGATGGAGACCTGCTGCAGGGGTGTGTCGCTCTCCTTCTCCAGGTCCTGCAAGAGAAACAGCCCGTCTAGCACCGCAAGGCAGCCGCCACGGCCGAGACATGCAGCTCTGCTCACGGGATGGCCCAGCTCGGGGCTGAGCCGACGTCGCCTCCGCTGAGAGCATCTCACCGGCCAGGGCAGCACTGGTCTGGAGGGGCCAAAAGCCAGCGAGGACGGCAAAGGTCTGGGGTGGATCTGCAGTCACATGTCCGTTGGGACACTGACACACACCCCTCCCGCGTGCTCAGGCTTCGGTGACATCCGGGCGCTTCCTACAAGCGCCTGGCCAGGCTCCGTGCTCCCGGGGAGAGCGGGCATCGCTGCGCTACGGACGACGTGCTCCATCGCTCTTGCCAAAGTTGCTGGAGCAGGCCGGTTCCCGAGGCGAGCGGCCGAGCCACGGCAGGGTCTGCCTCCCAAGCTCCAGGCTTACCAGCTCGAAGGCAGCCCGGGGATTTGGTCTGGTAAACGCTCGGGTTCCCCTGGGTCACGGTCACAGATTTGCACGTGCAGGGCAGACTCCTCCAGATGAGGGCCCCTGGACCGCGGTGCCCACGGACCTTCCACGAGTCCCGTCAAAAGGCGGAGGCGATGCAAAACAGAGGGGTGGGGATGCGGGCAGGGACCCCCAGGACAGCTGTCCATGGGAGGGGGCTCCCGGGGAGCAGCCGGGCTGAGCTCAGCCCACAGGGCCGAAGCAAACAGCGAGTGAGACGGCATTCGACTCCTCCTGAGCCCGTCCTGGATGGTGTCCCCTGGTGCCAAGCCAGCAGGGAGGCGACAGCCCCACAGGCAGCCACTAATGGCACCCTCCAGCAATGCCACACACAGGCCAGGGCTTCCCCACATCTCCCTCCGCTTGCCAGCCCACGTGTTGCTCATGTCATCCCAGAGGAGCTGCAGCTGCAGGACGGCACCTCTGCCCCCCTCAGATACAGAGGGGCATTTTCACGATGGTTCAGCTTGAACTGGCCCCGGGAGGGGGCTCAAATTTCAGCCCCCCCAACGGGACAGTGACTGTATTTCACAGCAGACAGACAGATGGACACCCAGCTCTGGCATCTGCCTCAGCAGTGCTGCTTGGAGCCACACC